CTAGGCAGATGGTGGTGACACATATACGACAAGAAGGAGCAGATATGTGGGGAAGATAATGAGTTCCATTTTGGGTATGCTGACTATGCTGAGTTTGAGCTGCCCAAAGACCACCAGACTGCAGAACATTGGTCTGAGAGCCTGTAAGAATGGAAGTATCTGGATCCAGATTTGAGTCCCTCGATTTTTTTTTTTTTTTTTTTTTTTATGAGTTGGCTTCTCACTTGTCGCCCAGGCTAGAGTGCCGTGACTCGCTCATGGCCACTGCAGCCTCGACCTGCTGGGCTCAGGCGATCCTTCCGCCTCAGCCTTCCAAGTAGCTGGAACTATAGGCATGTGCCACCATGCCTGGCTAGTTTTTGATTTATTGTAGAGATGAGGTCTTGCCAAGTTGCCAAGGCTGGTCTCGAAACCGTGGGCTCAGGCGATCCTCTCACCTCGGTCTCCCAAATTGCTGGGATTATAGGCGTGAGCCACCATGCCTAACCTGATTTGAGTCCCTCAATAGAGTATCTTCATCTTTTGAAGAGACCTCATCTCCCTTCCACCTCAGGGAAAATAAACAGTCTTGGTAACTGGGTGTCCATACTGGGTGCTGAGCTTTGAGAAAGAGGCTCAAGTGCCTTTTTGGCAAGGATTCTCTTTGCTGGGAGCTCCCGACTCAGGGGTTCTCAAATGTCAACATACTGATGAGTAGGATTCTTAGGCCTCCACGTGCAGATTCAGTAAGGCTGTGCTGGGGGAGCCAGTCACCTGTGTTTTTAAGAAAAAAGTCCAGAGAAGAAACAACACACCTCAGCCTTTTCCACACTAGATTTTCTTTCTTCCCTCCCACAGCTGCTAAAATTCCAGGGGACTGCTTCACCTTTCCTCCAAAGGTCAAGGCAGGGTGCCGTCCCAGAAACTGAAACCAGGAGCCAGGATACACCAAGGAGAAATGTATTCTTGGTTTGCATCTTTCCATGTTTTCTCTTTCCACTATAAGAGAGGGTTCCAGGGCTGCTTTCAAAAAGGGATCACTCATGGATTTTGGTCTTAAGCCAGAGGAGTAAAAATAGGTGTGATCCCATAAGAAAATTGGTCCAAGATAGTTTGAGAAATACGGGATGCTTCTACCCAGAGGGACCTCACCAGCCCAGCAAGCTCACACACACTTTAGATACCTGGTGACAATTTTGGGGGGTTGTGTGACAGGCAGTGGAAGTGTGGGGCAGTGTGTCGTCTCTACATTCTTCTATCATTGGTACCACTTTGTGATGACCTGGAGAGAGAGAGAAGAGGTGCAAAGAGTAAAACTAAAGAAAAATAGAGTGTTAATTAGGAGCACCCAGTATGTGAAATTCTAAGAGGTGAAGTCAAAGGAGGGAAGGTGTCCCATTGGCTTTAGCCCAGAGAATGCGAGGAGAGTCCCTATGCTCAAGGACCTTACAGAGTAGATGGAGCGCCTGGTCTTAAACTAGCACACTACCTCTTCCACCCACAAATGCAAAAAGGGTGATGACAGATGGCAGGTGGGCAAGCCTGGGCAGCCCAGGAAGACATGTGAATCAGAGCATGTAGGACTCGAGCATCTTAGTGAAGTGGGAGGCACAGGTCAAGTGACAGTGTTAATGACAAAGTTGGTTTTATCTCCAAAATAGGGTTCTCTCCTGTCTCATGCTGCAAAGCCAATAAACACAATTGCTTGAAAGTGGGATCGAGCAGTACAGGCTATAATTCTATGGTCATAGAATGGAGAAGCAGGAACGTGGTTCACAAATCAACTTCTCACTAGGTGGGATGTGAGGGGCTTAAAATATAGAGTTTCTTTAATGAAGGGGTTGGACATGAGAAGGGAGAGGAAGAATGTTTATGTCTTTTCCAGGAATGAGTGGAGATTTCCTAGAATTCTGTCATGTCTTTTCTCTCCTTTTTTTGGTCTGGTGTTTCTGTCATGGTTGTTGAGGGGAGTGTCACTTAGCATGAAAAGCATATTATAATCAAGTTAGAGGTTCTTCAGAGGCCAACTGAGCTGCCATCTTGGATCCGATAGGTTTTAGCTGGTCTGGTCAAGAAGGACACTTCTGTCTCTGGGCTTTTCTGTCTCTTAAAAATATGCAGGGTAGCTGGGCTCGGTGGCTCAGCCTGTAATCCCACGCCTTAGGAGGCTGAGGTGAGTGGATTGCCTGAGCCCACGGGTTTGAGACCCGCCCGGGCAACTTGGTGAGACTCCGACTCAAAAAATAAAAATAAAATAAAAAATAAAAAATATGCAGGGTTAGGTTGGGGTAGAAATTCAGCTATGTCATGTATACATTACACTGGGTAACAATAGGGCCCCCCAAAGATGCTCACATTTTAGTCCCTGAAACCTGTGAATATCTTACCTTTCATGCCAAAAGGGACTTTGCAGAAGTTATTACGTTAAGGAGTTTGAGATGGGAAGGTTATCCTGTATTATCCAGGTGGGCCCAAAGGATTCACAGGGTCCTTCTAAGGGGGATGCAGGAGGGTCAAGGTCAGAGAAAGAAATGTGACCACGGAAGAAACCTGAAAGTTCTCTGAAGATGGTGGGAAGAGCCACAAGCCAAGGAACACAAGTGGCCTCTAGGAGCTAGAAGAGACAAGGGAAAGGATCATCCCTTAGAGCCTCCAGAAGGAACACACCCCTGACAACACCTTGATTTTAGCCCACTAAGACAGATTGTGGACTTCTAACCTCCAAAGTTGTGAGATAATATATGTGTGTTGTTCTGTGCCACTAAATCTGTGTTAATCTGTCACAGCAGCAATAGGAAAATAATACAGGCTCTTACAGAAATTTAGGTTAGTGAAAAGGTACTAAGCAGTGGCAGATTTCTCAGAATTCAAGAGGGGGTTGGGAAGAATAGATGATTCTAAATTATGCCTCTGGTTATCATATATGTTTCTTTGAAATAAAGTCAAACCTTCTGAGTTGGCCATGCAAATCCCTGATTAACAGAGGAAAGTAAACTATTCTTCAGGCAGCCAGGCACATAAAGTACTTTCCTATTCTTCCTTCAGGCTTCAGTGCTAGTATTTCATCTGCTGCTCACCGAGTCAAGAAGCTGAGATTTGGTCTTGGAGGTGTCAGCGTGGCTGTTGCCATCAGATGATAGTCACAAAGTTCATGAGACTGGACTTGGTCTTTTTCATCTCTCACACCCCACAAGGAGCCAAAAGCATGCCTAGTAAACTCTTTTTTTTTTTTTGGGCAGTCTCACTGTCGCCCAGGCTGGAGTACAGTGACATTATTATAGCTCACAGCAGCTTCAAACTCCTGAGCTCAAGGTAGCTGGAACTAAAAATGTGTGCCACCATGTCCAGCTAATTTTTGCATTTGGGGGTGGGGGTGGGGATAAGGGTCTCACTATGTTGTTCAGGCTGGTCTTGAACTCCTGGCCTCAAGTGATCCCCCTGCCTCAGCCTCCCAAAGTGCTAGAATTACAGGTGCGAGCCCCTGTGCCTGATATGTTCACCTTCAGAGATAGCATGGCAAGATGCTGGCTGAGAAGCCTCAAAGATGCATGTTAGTGCCCGTCAAAGTGTGTCTTAGCACACCCGAGAGAACGCTGTAGGAAGGAGAGCTTGGCCATTTCTGGCTGGATATCCTTGGGTGAGCTATGTACCTATGAGCCTCAGTGGCATCAGTGAGACTGTTTAGGGTCTAATTTCATTGCCTATCCAATAACCCTGATAAAGGAGGAGTAGGAGTACAAATGCATGACCAAAATAATTCCTTTTAATACTGTCCTAAGTGTCACCCTTAGTGTCCTAAGTGAGCTAGAAGAGCTTGACTTAGTCACCACAACAGCAATGGATCCTGCTGTAATCTAAATCAGATGGTGTCAGTCTTCTTCTCAAAATTCTCTAGTGCTTTCTTTTTTTTTGAGTTGGAGTCTCACTCTGTCGCCCAGACTGGAGTGCAGTGGCCACTCCGGCCACCGCAGCCTCGACCTGCTGGGCTCCGGCGATCCTTCCACCTCAGCCTTCCAAGTAGCTGGAACTACAGGCACGCGCTACCACGCCCGGCTTATTTTTTGATTTATTGTAGAGGTGAGGTCTTGCCAAGTTGCCCAGGTAGGTCCCGAACCCGTGGGTTCAGGTCATCCACTCACCTCGGCCTCCCCAAGCTCTGGGATTACAGGCTGAGCCACCGAGCCTGGCCTCTAGTGCTTTCTAACATCACCCATAGTCAGGGTCGAGTCCTTGCAATGGCCTACGAGGCCTGATGTAAGGGGTTCGCCTGCAACCCCCTTACTTCTCCCATCTCATCTGCTTTTCCTTGCTGCTTCCACACTAGCCACACTGGTCTTCCTGTTGATTCTGTAACTCAGAGGAGGTGGCAGCAAACTTTTCTGTAACAAGCCAGTCAGTGTTTACTTTCATTCAGCTTTTTGGGTCGTCTTTGCTGCAGTGACTGAGTTCGGTTGTACCTTAAGAGCAGCCATGGACAATATATAAGCGAATGAGCACGGCTGGGTTCCGATGTTTATAAACTCAACAAGAGGCCGTGGGCTGGATTTGGCTGCAGCCCACTGGTACTGCTCTAACTCCTGTCACACATCTGCCTCAGTCCCCAGCACCTGCTGCGTCCCCGACATACATGTGGCTCTTTCCCTCACCTCCTGCAGGTCTTCACTCAAACGCCACCTTCTCAGGGAGCCCTGCCCAGGCCACACTAGCACTGCTGCCCCGCCTATCCACCTTCTTTGCTTTTTCTCTTTTGATCTTAAGGCTAATCTTAGTTATCATCTGTCACCACCCCCAACTCTCACCAACTAGAATATGTTTCTTTTTTTTTTCTCACTACTGAAGTCCTAGCTACTTTGTACACAGCAGGCACTCAATAAATAGTAATTCACTGAATAAATCAGGTTTATTGAAAAATTTAGAAAAGTACCCCCAAATATACCCTAACACAGGGCAATGGTTACCAGTACTTAGAACGCCCCGGATCACTGGGCTACATCATAATTAGTGATGTCATTGTTGGGAAGATTCTGAAGTTGACCTGATTCAGGCCTTTTAGGCCTCAAAGCTGGTGGGATTGAGGAGCTGTGTGAGAGCAGCATGGCTCTTGACCGTGTGTGGGCTCCGCAGGCAGTAAGCGTAGGGGATGGGCCTGCCAAGATCACGGGCGACCAGGCCCTGCTGCAGCCACAGGCCCTCCAGACTGCCTCCATAATGGATGGCCCAGCAAAGCGGGCAGTGTGGGTCCACCGCAAGAGCTCGGAGCCACAGGAACCTACTAAGTCAGCAGCAGCCAAGGAGAGGTCCAAGCTAGCGGTGACCAAGGCCGTGGTCGTGGACCTTGGCACTGGCTACTGTAAGTGTGGCTTTGCCGGCCTGCCAACTCCCACCCACAGGATCTCAACGACAGTGGGCAAGCCCTACATGGAGACTGCCAAGACTGGAGACAATCGCAAGGAGACGTTTGTGGGGCAGGAGCTCGCCAATCCAGAGGTGCTTCTGAAGCTGGTTAATCCTCTGCAACACGGCATCATTGTGGACTGGGATACAGTGCAGGATATCTGGGAATATCTTTTCCAACAAGAGATGAAGATCTGCCCAGAAGAGCATGCAGTCCTGGTTTCAGACCCACCCCTGAGCCCTCACACCAACAGAGAGAAGTATGCCGAAATGCTGTTTGAAACCTTCAACACCCCCGCGATGCACATCGCCTACCAGTCCCGCTTGTCCATGTACTCCTATGGAAGGACCTCCGGCCTGGTGGTGGAGGTTGGCCACGGCGTGTCCTACGTGGTCCCCATCTATGAGGGTTATCCTTTGCCTAGCATCACCGGACGGTTAGACTATGCAGGCTCTGACCTGACAGCCTACCTGATGGGCCTGATGAACAATTCAGGATATAACTTCACTGAAGACCAGATGGGCATCATGGAGAATATCAAGAAGAAATGCTGCTTTGTGGCCCTGGATCCTATCGAGGAGAAGAAAGTCCCTCCCACTGAGCATATGATCCAGTACACTCTGCCTGATGGGAAGGAGATACAGCTGTGCCAGGAAAGGTTCCTCTGCTCAGAGATGTTTTTCAAGCCATCCCTCATCAAGTCCATGCAGCTAGGCCTCCACACCCAGACAGTATCCTGCCTTAACAAGTGCGACGTTGCCCTCAAACGGGACCTCATGGGGAACATCCTGCTCTGCGGGGGCAGCACGATGCTCAGCGGTTTCCCTAACCGTCTGCAGAAGGAGCTGAGCAGCATGTGTCCCAATGACACCCCGCAGGTGAACGTGTTGCCTGAGAGAGACAGTGCAGTGTGGACTGGCGGCTCCATCCTGGCCTCGCTTCAGGGCTTCCAACCACTGTGGGTCCACCGCTTTGAGTACGAGGAACATGGGCCTTTCTTCCTCTACAGAAGGTGCTTCTGAACTCTGACGAGGCATGGCCATAGCACTGGCAGTGCACAGCTTTGTGGGGTGAGCGCCCTCCTACACAGGTAGCTGGGCCAGTGCACTCATTCCCATAGCATTAAACACCCCTCATGTTCCCCTCCACAGTGGGTTTCTCTATTTCTTTACATATGCAGCACCTGCCTTAAATGTACAAGGGGGAACCTCCCAAAACAGGAATTTACTTTTTAAAAACTGTGTATTTATTTTTACATATTTAAACTTGTCACTCTCAAAGTACTGTCCATTTGATCCAGTACACCTATCAAGATTCTTTTTTTTCACTGCCCAAAACAGTTTTTGAACTCATCAATTTTGATACCTTTTAGTGCCTCTGCCCTTTTTTGTTTGTTTGTTTCACCTCTTCCACATCGGCAAAACATTTCTGTTTGAGGACTTTTTTCATCTGGAGAAACAAAAAAAGGTTGCTTGGGCGAGATTGGGTGAAGAGGGAGGGTGGGGCACAGAAGTGATGCCGTTTTTGGTCAAAAACTGCCAAACACACAGCACGATGTGGGCAGGTGTGTAGTCATGGTGGAAGAATCAGTCACCTGTTTGCCACAACTTGAGATGTTTCTTCCGCAAATTGGGACACAACCTTCTCAAAACTTCCAGATAAAAACGAATGGGTTCCTAGAACACTTATCTAGTGGAGGAAGCCTGAACTACAAGAGGCCTGCCCTCCAAAAAGAGAACTCTGGGTTTTTTGAGTCCTCCTTGTACATTTGCCAAAACAAAACCAGGAGTGGGGAGAGGGTGAATGAAAAAGACAAGTATTATATGTTGACTGCACACTCGCTTTTTCCTCAGAGAAAGTAGCTCTAAAGCGATTCTGTCCCTTACTTTGGGCACTGCCCACTTTAGGGACTACTTTACTGTTAAAATCTGCTGGAGGGGGATGAAGACAGATTATAGGGCAAATGTTGTAGGGGCACATAAGAAGCTCCCATTCCATAAACACCAATTGGAAGTATGCCGTAACAGTTTAATCTCCCACAAAGCGGCAGCATGTTTCCTAACCTCAAGATCAACTCTGAAGCCTTGGAAAGAGTTGGCAAAGATGTCTGACCTCTGCTTTAGCTGGACTTTCTTTTAGTTCGAACAGTCACTTATATCTCAATACCAGTTCCTTTTTTTTCCCCCTCTCTGTAGAAGGGTCTCGCTATATTGCCCAGAATGGCTCAAACTCCTGGGCTTAAACAATCCTCCCACCTTGGCCTCCCAAAGTGCTGGGATTACAAGCGTAAACCACTGCAACCTGCCAGTTCTTATTAAGCCATCATAGTGACTGGCTGATGAAGCCTAGCATATTATGCGCAGGGTGTGCATACATGTCTTAAGGGGCAACTCTTCAGAGAATGAGTGCCATACATATTTCCTCTTCTTAACAACTGGGGTAAGACTTAGTTTGGGTTATCAGCATTGAGGTCAAGGATGGAAGCCATGGTCATTCTCCAGGTACTTCAAAAAGCAGCTCCCAACAGACTGGATTCTCTATCAGCCTGTACGGCATACAGCTGGAGTTTGGGGTGGGCTCAGGATAGAGGCTGCCCCTATGCTGGTCATCCCAACCCAAACAAGGGGCCCAAAGGAACATTCAGGACCTAGCGGGTTCTATGGCATTCCTGCAGGGGGAGTTTGTACTTGGAGCACTCTAAACTGGAGATTCCCTAGAACAGCCCCCAATACATTCTCTGCCCCATCTCTAAAGCCTAGCATCTGAACACCCTAGTAGGCAGTATAGAACGGTGGGAAAGGCATGGGCGTTGAGCTTTATTTTACCAGCACTAGCTGTGGGTCTGTTTGCTTACCTATAAAATGGAATACAAATGCCTACCTCACACAGCAGTATAAAACTCAGACACAAACACCTAAATACCAGTATCTGGTCTCCTGAAGGTGCTCACAATAACTAGCCAGTAACCTTCGATGTCTACCTCTCACACAGAAGGCCCAAAGTCTCTTACTACTGTCCTTAACTAAACAGGCACTCAAAGGCACACATGCAGCATTCAGAAGAGGGCTGGCATCTCCACTAACTCCAGGGAGAAGCCCTACAGAGCCACACTCACAGCCTCCAGGTTTTCCTAGACAGTCTTGAAAGGCCCCAAGTGCCTGACCCAGAATCCAGGTCTGGTGAGTTAGCATATCTGGCTGGCACCAGCAGATGGCGCAGAAGGGCATCTGAGGTCCCAATAGTTCGGCAAGGATGATGAAGCCTTTCACTGGAGTGTCAATCTGCGAGGAGCTGGGCCACTGACCTGAGACAGAGACACATCATCTTCAACTCAGTTTCTGCCCAAACCACTCTACTGTCAACACTCCCTGATCATACACTAATGGGCACGTTGGAGTTTGGTTAGTTCTTAACCTTTGGCAGGGTGGTAACCTATAAACCTCTTCTTAGAATAATGTTTTAAAATGCATAACACAAAGGATTAGAGGAAACTAATCACTTAGAAGTATATATCTATCTTCAGACCCTTAGGGGTCTGTGAACCTCAAATCAAGAATATCCCAAAAGGCAAGAGGAAGGGTGAAGAGGATGAGTGGGAGATGGTTCTGGAGAGTGGGAGTCTCCAGGCCTTCTCAAACCTAAATGTTCATTTAAGATTAAAAAAAAAAAAAAAACCAAACCAATATAAGGCTGAGCAATGGAACAGTCTTTTTCAAAGCACTTTTTCAAATTCTCTCACTTGATCCTCAGAATTGCTCTAGTAGAAAAAGAGAATCCTCCTCCCCTCCCAAACGGTATTTGGAAGTTATCTTGCTCAGCAGTTCTCAACGTGGGGAAATTCTGATCCCCAGGAGGCATTTGGCAGAATCTAAAGATATCTTTGATTTATCATAATAGGGGTGGGAATGCGTACTACTGGCATCCAGTGGGTAGAGGCCAAGGAAATTGTTAAATATCCTACAATGCACAGGTCAGCATCCCCACACCACACCAAGAATGATATGACCCAAAACTTCAAAGTGCCATTAAGTGCCTATTGGCCTGATGGGCACAAAAGGCTGGAAGGCTCAGCAAAATTGAGTGACTTTGTCCAAGGACACTAAGATGGGTGGACACATGGTCCATTGCCTTGTTCTTTCCTTTGTGGCAGGAAGACATCTGTTGTTCTTAAAGTTCCTGGGACTTTAAAGTCAATAAGGGTAATAATGGTGAAGCAGCCCACTGTGGGCACAAAGGCACAGCCAAGGGCTTAGGGAGCAGAGGACACAAGAAGCAAGAGCAGGCCTTCAGCATTGCCAGATGTCACCAGATTAGCCTTGTCTTGTCTACAGCCTCTTCAATATTTATAGTTATCCAACTCCTAAGATGTTCATCCTCACCCAGTTACTATAAATATGACAGACAGGGAAGGACTGGCCACATAACTTATCAGAATGAGCTGGGGTTTTTTCTAGACTCACCTTTAAAGAGAAAAAAGTCTCATTTCTTCCAAAGAAAACAACAAAGTTCTTTAGAGAAACAGAATGAAACAGGTCAGTTAAGCATGATATAGAAACACAAACGAAATGCATTAGACAATGACAAAAATATTTCAGTTAAATGAAGCAGTATTTGGAGAACAGAAAATAATCTATAACCGCTCATGCCATATAGTACACACTGCCCACCCACACCAAAGGTACATGATCCTATTTAGACAGTCTCAACTGTTCCAGCTCTAACACTGTGAATTCTCTAGCAGAAAACACACAAGCAGTAAAACTGTTCCTATGGACAATGTAACTACAGGAGCCTCAGTACACTTATAACTGAAAGCGCACGACCTGGTAAGATGTTACAAAACAACAGCTGTTAGCAAAGGAAGGCTCAGAATTTCAAAGAATACTTTTTATTCTGCTTTAGTTTAAGGTGAAAGGAAGCCATTCAAATGATTACATCTGACCAAATGTAGCACTAGTAGCCATTGTTGTTACATATATAATCCTCTCCTTCAGCAACATAATGTTTAGAAACATTATTTTACTTGTCTTCACACTTTTGAGGTAGAAACCACAAAACATTATTCCCAATTAACAGATGAAAAGCTGAGGCACAAATCAACTGTGACTTGTCCAAGGTCCAAATATGAATCAGACCTGTAGCTGGGGAAAAAACCCAATCTCACGATGACCATAAATATGCTCTCAAATAGCACAAAGAAGAGAATACTTCTCACAAAATGATGTTTACTGGTTAAAGTTTTACATTTGCTTATGATTAGGATGTTTCCACAAAACATAAAATTGCCTGATGTCTGCTGAGGTCTGGTGCACACAGCAGTTCTTGGCAATGCCAAGGCAAATCATCCTCTCATTTTTCCACAGCCAGCCCTCAAAGAGCAAGAGTGGAATGACAACTAGGAACAAGTAGAAAACAGCCTCCTCCTCCATCAGAGCCCTCCTAACTGTGGTCAGTCACTCGAGCAAGTTCAGTCTCCACTGGGTTCTTCTGTTGATCTTTGGTGGTATGAAAAGCTCAGCATCTAAAAGAGAAAAAGGCAGGGAAATTGTGACAGGCTCACTCTGGTTGGTGGGAGCTGAGACAGAAACTCTTAAGCTCAACAAAATAGAAGACTGGGTTTTGCAGCTACAAGAAGAACATCAGATCCAGAGCTAATGTGTCTTGTCTGTTCCCCTTACAACCTCCAGGTTAGGGCAAATATGACACAGCCTGGAGGCCCGGCCCTAAGAGGAGGGACCGCATTTCAACTTCAGGCATGCTCACTGAGTGGTTCAAAGTGGAGAATGTTCTATTTTTCAACTGGAAAGCGGTGGTGGTGGCAGTTAGATGACTGGATGCATTTATTAAAATTCATCAAGTTGTACACCTAGGATCTGTGCATTCCTCTACATGTAAAATTTACCTCAACTTTTAAAGAGTAAAAAAAAAAAAATGTAGTAGCATGTCTTCAGTAAGTAAAGTTAAAGAACAGAAATTTCTTCATGATAAAAAAAATTCTACAAATACATTAACCAAACCATTGCTTAAAAAAAAAAAGTAGCTGGGCTCGGTGGTTCAGCCTGTAATCCCGTGCTTTGGAAAGCTGAGGTGAGTGGATTGCCTGAGCCCACGGGTTCAAGACCCACCTGGGCAAGTTGGCGAGATCTCATCTCTACAATAAATCAAAAAATTAGCCGGCCGTGGTGGCGTGCCTGTAGTTCCAGCTGCTTGGAAGGCTGAGGCAAAGGATCGTCAGAGCCCAGCAGGTTGAGGCTGCAGTGGCTGGGAGCGGCCAGCAGATAATTAAGTTTCCATGTGAATGTACATGGAAACCAGACAGACATTAAAAGTTACAGATGACTCTTGAACAAAGTGGGGTTGGGGTGCCGACTCCCCCACTCAGTCTGAAACCCTTGTATAAGTTTTGACCTCCCAAGTTTCAGGGGGACCAAAGGTTATATACCTACTTCTGATCAGCTAAACAGTCGATGAACTCATGTTTTTTAAGTTATGCATATTATATAATTTTTTAGAAATAAAGTAAGCTAGAGAAAATACAATTTTAAGAACATCATACGAGAAAATATATTTACTATTTATTAAGTGGAAGGGGATCATCATAAGGGTTTTTATTTTCCTTTATTTTTTTTTTTGTGTGTGTTAGGGGTTTCACTCTATTGCCCAGGATGATTAAGAGCAGTGGCATGATCACAGCTCGCTGCAGCCCTGATCTCCTGGGCTCAAGCAATTTTCTACCTCAACCTCCTGGGCTCAAGCAAGCCCTCTGCCTTGGCCTCCCAAAGCGCTAGGACTACAGGTGTGAGCCACCACACCCAGCCCCTGTTGGAATTTCACAACACACAAAAGGAGTCATTTCTATCCTGAGAGCTTTTCAAGTCTTCCAAGGACCTCTCTTCATCCTTTGATAGTCAAATCATTTGAAGTATTTACTTGGTTATCAACTGTCAGAAAGTCAACTCGATTGTCATTCAAGCACTTTTCCAGTATCACTTTGATCCATATTATGAAATACTACATCTTTGCAACTGATCTGTATGATATTGCATTGTGTCAAAGCACAAAACAATCAGAGAAAAATGACCCATCAATCACTCACTCATGGGGATGCGTGAATATACTTAACTACTGTTAGGTGAGGAGTAGCAGCTGAGGAATATTTAAGTAGGATTAATTTTGTAGTTAGTTCACTAATGCCAACTTTTTAAAAAATTTAATTTTTTTAAGGCAAGATCTCACTGTGTTGCCCAGGCTGGTCTCAAACTCCTGTGCTCAAGCAATTCTCTTGCCTTGGCTTCCCAAAATGCTGGGATTACAAGTGTGAGCCATTGTACCCAGTCTATGCCAACTTTTGATTATGAGAACATTCTTTTTCCTATACAACCAGGTAGCCACAAGGATAATGGTAATAAACACTCACATAATGAGGCACCCTCAAGTATTATATGGTGTCTTTAAGGTTCAGCTAGAAAATGAAAGAGTTCATTGATGTGGGATCTAGAATATTCCAGGAAATGGTGGGACTCGACCTGACCTGAAGGTCAGCATCAGGTCAGAAGTGAGGATAATGGGGCAGAAATCACAACTAGATTAGAGAACAGTACAAAATAAACAATTACCAATTAGCCTCAGGTCTAAAATGAATTTTTAGCATCTCATAAATAAGTGTATATGTTGAAACTGATATCAAAAGAATCCTGCCAGACTTCAGAAAGAAGAGGAGTTACAGATAGTGATTACTGTCTGAATGGAAGAGTTTAGCTGGCATGGAAGGAAGCTGTTCGTTACTGGTAACAACATAATCTGTAAACTTAATCTGAATCCCCACAGGTTACTTCAAATATCATCAAAATGCTGTTATTGTAGTGCAGCACTTAAAAAAAAATTGGAATGTTGTTGGTCGCCTGTGAGAAAATGCAAATAACAGCAGTACAAACTGCCATTTATTTTTTCAAAGCTAAGAGAAGTCAGTATGCTTGACTGACCTACCTGAAGGGCAAATCAAGATGCCAAGTTATCTGTCAAATGTTTCTAATCAAATTTCAAAAGAAAGTCTTTAGGGCTTTTAACTTTTAGGGATATATATATATATATATATATATATATATAAGCTAATTGAGAATCATCTCCTCCCAACAAACAAACAAAACATTTTAGGTATAACTAAATAGATAAAATGCAAATATTCTTTGGATGTGCCTTCAAATTATACTGTCAATTCTAAACATGATAAAAAGGTCCCATTCAGAAGCAGGGATTAAGAAAATGCCCCAATATGCAATGCATAACTGCTAACAGCCAAAAATGATGCTTCAGAAGAATCTTGCAAATATATGTGTAAATGTAGACTATTTAGACTGAAACCGTAATGTGATTTGTCTGTATGAACAAGTGTATGCCATTGCTAGTAAAAAAAATTTTTTAATTTACACATATAATGGTCATGTTCAATATCCCCCGCTGTGCCCTCACCATCAAAAGCATTACTAAAGATGCAGTCTTAGTACTAAGGAAACATTGTAGTCAATACCCAGTCTCGCCTAATACCGCTAACTTTTCTCAATATTCATGGAAAGATAATCCTTCTACTTAATAATTTATAGGAAAAAAATACTAACCAAGAACAGGAACCAAAGTCTTCTGTTGTTGATAAGAAGCCATGATACTATTCGCAGTAGAATTTGGACCTAGAACCTAAGGAGAAGGTAGATTGTATCAGCAAAGATTATCTTGTACTTCTGATGACTGTGAACACCAAACGCCAACTCTCTACCAGCAGTAAACAGCCTGTCATTTATACTGATATGGTATCAAATACAGTAATTCTCTTTCCCTATGTGATTTCAATTTGCTAGCCTTTCTAGTTTCAACTCAGACCTTTAAATCTCCTTTCTTCCAGAACAAGGTAATGATAGGGCGGGGAGTGGGGGAAGATATGTATGATATAATGATAGGGCGGGGAGTGGGGGAAGAACAGGAACTCTACAATGATATATATGCCTGGCCCTTCCTGAATGAGCAAACCATTCCCCAAGGGGAGAGGAAATAGTACAAGAGGCTATAGAATATTCAGAGTATCAATTATACTCAGAGTTGTGGGAAACAAACATTCTTATATTAAACCAAATGCAAATATGTGCATAATTTGGAGCAGAATGTAAACTCTGTGCACGTGCTCACGGTAAAATACAAGACTTCATAGGAATTTCAAGCCTGCAGTGAGCTTCTGGGTACATGCCAGGTCCACTGGTTAGTGCAGTCCCTTAGAAGTATGGTATCTGAAGCAGTGCCATCTGATCACAGCACTTCCAGGTGATGTATGGCTTCCTGCAAATACCATTACCATAATTCACCAATCAAAACAAAACCACAATTTTCCTGGGTTTTTTTCCCTAAAGTATTCACAGAGTTGATGTCTTAGAAGTTAACGTGATCAAGATAGGAGAGTAGAAGGGATAGCAGTGGCTTTATAAATTATTCAAAACTAGTCGTTTTGAAGCTGATACATTTCTTCTAGGCAATACCCATTATAGTACATTCACTAATCTGTAGGGGTCCTATTCTTAGTTGCTTTATTTCTATGATTTGTAAAGTGCTTTTACACCCATTCTTTTATTTAACATTCAAAACGTTCCAGTGAAGCACAGAGGGGAAGTACTATCCCCACTGCTATACCCACTGAGGAAATCAAGACCCAGTAAATGTATGTGTTTCTAACTAGGGAGCTGATTCCTAATCTCTTAGCTCCAAACCCATCAATCTATACACTGCTTGTGACACTGGAGCTGGGACCTGAAAGGGCATTCCTCTTTGTCAGGGGGTTCCCTGTTATGTTCTCAACAGGGGACAGCAGAGGGAAAGTGCAAGGCTAAAGGAGGAAGAGAGGATTTGCTCCTTGGTTTGTTTGCTTTTCCCTCAGCAGCAGGTGTCCTCTCAGCTTCCATGTATTTCTATATACTTAGAACCAGCTTCACCATGCCACCTCAGAAATATCAGGACAAGCTGGCTGGTACCGCCTTCTCAGAGGTTCAGGGACCAGCTCTGCAAGGTCCCACCCTCCTGGCTTCGAAATCTAATAATTCTAAACTCTTCCTTTGGTTCTCTCAGCCAGAAGGGGAGAAGCTGCTTCCTATAGTTACTCAGTGTCCTTTTCTGTATTCCCCTTTTGCTTTTTACTCCTCCAATACTTATTTAACCAATCCATCTGCTAAATCCTCTGTGAGAAAATAAGAGTTGTGGTTATTTTCCTTACTGGACCCTGACTGATATACCAGCCTTTCTGGATCCAAATCAAAACCTTTAAAAATAGATGATGTAGCCAGGCTCGGTGGCTCAGCCTGTAATCCCGCGCCTCTGGGAGGCTGAAGTGAGTGGATTGTCTGAGCCCGTGGATTCGAGACTCGCCTGGGCAGGCAAGACCTCATCCCTACAATAAATCAAATAATCAGCCAGGCGTGGTAGCGCATGCCTGTAATTCTGGCTACTCGGAAGGCTGAGGCGGAAGGATCGCCGGAGCCCAGCAGGTCGAGGCTGAGGTGGCTGGGAGCAGCCACTGCACTCCAGTCTGGGCGACAGAGTGAGACTCCAACTCAAAAAAAAATAGATGATGTATAAGAGAGTGAGCAGAGGTATAAAAAATAAACAGATGATAATACATTAGAATTCTTGATGGAGCAAAAAGCCTTAAACAATTAGCAAAGTTTGTGATAACCATACAGAAGTGATAAGTCAAATTTTCCATAAAACAAAGGAAAAGCAATGGTCTGGGGTCCCTTTAACGACTGATCCTGTCTACAGGTTCTGAACTGGGAGGTGAGAGGCTGACTCCGAGTCTAACTTCCCCCTCCCCTATCTCAACCTCACTGAAGGCTGGGGCAACCACCTGACTTTCTCATCTTCTCCATGACAGCTGCTTCATCCAGAAGAAATAACAGCCCACTTAACCTACAACAAGATGTACTAGTCACTGTATAGGCAAATATAAAATCATACTGACAGCTTAAACAGAAATTAAGATCATTTAACTATGGCGTATTATGTTTGAATAGAAAAGTTTTTTGCTTTGACTCTTAAGGGACTATGTGAATGTAATACTCTGTGAAAAATGGTTTAAAAATGTACACTATTTTTGAGAAGACTTACAGGTGTGGCTGAATTTTGCTGGTAGGTTAGAGTCCAAATTTCTGGAAGTGACTTTTCTATCAGCTGCAGGGTGTCTTCAAAGGTCTTCTGTAATTCCCTTCCTTGCTCATCAAACTCAAAGAGAAAGAGTACCTTTAAAATATGGTATACTTCATCTAGAAAGAAGACATTTGAGAAAGTAGTAAGTTTTGTCCTCAACTCCACTGACAGAATTACACCATAGTTTCTCTTATAAGCAAAAAAGTTCTAATATTACACTACAGGTGCTTTCTCCATTATTTTCTTCCCAAATGCTGAAGTAATTTAACACATCTAGTAGAAAAAGAAAAACACACTGGGGCCCAAGCAGGAAGCAGGGTCCCACAATTCTTTCTCCTGGCTTCCATGCTAATCTTTCACAGTACAGTTAGGTGGATGCCAAGAGGAGGAAGGCTACTTAGTTACCAGCTGAAAATGGCTGTTTCAGGAATGAGTGCTGAAATGACCCCACCTGTTCAACGTTTTTACCTTTCCTCAAACTAGGAAAATTGTATCTTAATTATCTGAGCCCTGCCCGACTGTGCTGCCTATTTACTAGTTTTTGTGATCAAAAAGTATCATCAGTACTGTCAATCTACCTTTCAGTTTTTCAGTGTTCTGTACCACTTCATTCAGTGCCTCCAAAAGGGCCAGATCCTCCAGAGGACTCCCTTCTTTGAGGCTGTGCTTCTTCCGTTCTGCTTTTCGGCGATTCTTGGATGATCTCCTGTTAGAAATTAGAGAAATGAGCCGGGCTCAGTGGCTCAGCCTGTAATCCCGCACCTTTGGGAGGCTGAGGTGAGTGGATTGCCTGAGCCTGCGGGTTCGAGACCCGCCTGGACAGCGAGATCTCATCTCTACAATAAATCAAAAAATCAGCCAGGCGTGGTAGCACATGCCTGTAATTCCGGCTACTTGGAAGACTGAGGCGGAAGGATCGCCGGAGCCCAGCAGGTCAAGGCTGCGGTGGCCGGGAGCGGACACTGCACACCAGTCTGGGCAACAGAGTGAGACTCCAACTCAAAAAAAAAAAAAAAAAAGAAAGAAATTAGAGAAATGTTTAAAAGGGAGCTTTTCCTGTGCTGACGAGACTAAAAAGACTGTACCTGTTGGCCACAGACCTTCTGGAAAAACTAAAGAATCTACAGACTGTATTTGGGGGAAAATGGTGATGGGTGTTAAAGCAATACATAACTGGGTAAATGTGTGATGACATGTTATCTCTTCCACTCCTGATTTTGAACTGAAGAAGCTTGGAATCTTTTTTCTTCATAATCTTTCTTTTTCACCTTTTCATTGCCTACATGTTATAGTCACTTAACATTTGCTCAATGAGTAAATTGAGTGTCCAGTACAAGTGCCTCACAGGCAATGGGCAAACATACAGGCCACAAAGCTGCAGAAGAAAACATTTTAACATCAACTCTAATCTTTAGATATGCTGGGAAAGTCCTTACACAACTCTCACATGTTGAAGAACATCCTTCCCACTCTCACTACATCGTCCTAGTAGAAACCCAACCTATTTGCTTCTACTTTCTCCATAAGCCCAGGGCATAGTCAATTTGCTAAATAAATCTGATACGTACGCTGATATCCTGGAGTTACTGTGGGAGTATTTGCCACTCATCTCACTGCCACTCACAACACTGCTAGTTTCAGAGAAGAGGTCTGACTCTTGACCATGGGGCACCTCATTATCTAGAAAAGAAGCAACAGATGCAGGTGAAAACGTTGCCTGCTAATGTGGGTTTACCTTCAGTGATGTAAACAAATTAGAGTCAGCCAGGGCTATCAAAGGATGGATTATTACTAAATTATTACTAAGTTAACATCAAAATGAATGACATATGGCTCACACCTGTAATCCCAGCACTTTGGGAGGCAGAGGCAAGAGGATTGCTGAGCCCAGGGGTTCGAGATCAGTCCTGGCAACTTGGCAATAACTCATTTCTACAATATCAAAAAATTAGCAGGGCATGGTGGGCATGCACCTGTGGTTTTAGCTACTTGAAAGGCTGAGGCAGAAGGATTGCCTGAGCCCAGCAGAACAAGGCTGCAGTGGCCGTGATCATGCAACTGCACTTCAGCCTGGGCAACAGAGTGAAACACTGATGCAAAAAAAAAAAAAAAAGAGAGAGATAATATTAAATACAGTTATTACTATAAGTCAGTTGTCTACCAAACTTTTTTTTTCTTTATTTCTTTTTTAGTAACAAGGAAACTCATTTTGTAAAACACAGCTACTCTGGTTGGCTGAAGGTGGGTGGGAATGTCTGACAGACATCCCATTCATGCTTGGTCCTGTCCCCAAGTCCTTCCCCAACAAACAAACACAAACATACACGGCCCCTAAGGGGTTTCACAGAGGTCTGACTCCCCCCATGACACAGTAACCAAATTGCAGGAGGAACACCAAGCAGCTTAGACAATGTGTATGTTACATACTCTGCATTCCCCTGTAAGCATCAATAGTATTCATGCCAACACTCACTCAGATTCACCAGCTGTGCTTGCTCTTTGAGCTCTCGAACTACCAACAAACGTTTCTTGTGGCGACTGAATGTGGCTGTCTGAGAGTCTAGAAATGCCATGTAATTTTTCTGGGCTGGGGATGAGGAATAGAAAATAATTTGAAAGTAATTCAACCTGAAGCAGCCATTTGTCATTGCTTTGTTAAACTCGGTGCGTCCATGTGGCTCTTTGAGCTATGATCACCATGTTTTCCTAGCCTTGGTCCCTTCCCTTGTAGAGGTGAATATCTCCTCTCTCTTCTCTCTTCCTAATTTACTTTCTAAACTATATTTTCCAATCTTAAATAAAAGAAAATAATTTGAGTGTGACATTTAGGCAAAGAGAAAACTAAAAGGTTGGGGTGATGAGGGAGGATTAGAATTCAACAAAAACAAAGAGGTTACTAGATCTTCCAAGCAAGCCTTTTCCCCCTTATTGAGCATTAATCAACTAAAGACTGAGATTCCAGATCTTGGAGTGCATCAGTATCATCTCAGAATACTATCTACCACTAATCTTGTAAAATCATCTGAACAAAGACTTGATATCTAACCCAAGAGAGGACTGGCAAATAAAAGGGGTGCACAGGAGGCTGTTAACACAAATAAGAGGAAAGTTACTTAGATGTTTCTGACTAAACGCCCATCAAAATGCCCATGGGTGTGGAATAAATGTATCTAATGATTTTTAAAAATTACTGTCTAACAGGAAAATAAACAAGAGAAAAATGACACTCATAGAATATATATTTTTTCAAAAACAAAATGCTACTATCCAAGGACATATGTTTTTCACAGATATTAGGCCTATACAGCTGGATTATCAGCATTTTCTAGGTTCTCATTACTGGTAAAAATCCAAATAAGAACTGGCTAGATACACTGTTATAAAGCCAGAAATGATGCTTTCTGTATCTAGTTAGGGGTACCTAAAGTGAATGATACAAAAAGTACCCCAACAACAGTTGTACTTGGGATAGAGGAAAGGGGAGCAGACAAAGTAAGACTGTGAATAAATGTAAAAGTCAGAAAGGTCAGACATTACTTACAGGGCAGACTTGCTTAAAAAGGCAGAGCTTAAAATCAACCCTCACTTCCTAAGATCCCTGTTAGTCAAACTGATGTCTTTCTCTACTTTGCTTTTAAGAGGTCACCGTGACCATCTAAGTACTCTAGAACTGGTCCTTTTCATATGCTCTCTAGGAACCATAACTTCATTTGCAAAGGTGTTTTTTATTTTTTTAGTATTCTGGAAAATTCCAAATCTACATAAAAATTGTAATAGCTCAATGAACACACACACACACACTACCACCCAGATTTACCAACTGTTAAATTTGCCATATTTTTGGCTTTCTATTTCTCTGCACGTGAGTGCTCACACACTATTACTTTTGTGAAACCTTTGAAAGTAAGTTGCATATTTTGAACCTTCATTCCCAAATAGTCAGCATTTATCTCAAGATAAATAGGATGTTATCTTACATAATCACAACACAAGTATTAAATGCTGGAAATACTAGTATCTAATATAATACTAGTATCTAATATAATTCATATTCAAGTTTACCAACTATTCCCAAATACAAAGATTCTTAATAATGTTTTATCACAGATTTCTAACATTCAGGTCTTTTATGTGTTAACATTTAATAGTTTAGAGTGTTTAAAATTTCTGATGAGAATTAAATATTATACCCAGTGGGTAATTTTGCTTGAGTCTATAAAACATATTATTTAAAAATACAATAGAAGAAGGAAACTCTCCATCTCTCTCCCTTACCCTTCTCTAAACTTCAAAATGAGGATTTCCATCTAAAATGTAACCCTCACCTTCTAGAATCGAAGGCTTTACGTTGGTTTCTATAATATCCAGTCTGTTATATTTGTATACCTAGAAAAAAAATACAGTAATTTTAGGTAGGGAAACTTCTAGCCACTGGAAGGGTAAGAGTCTTAGAAAGATATGAACCACTTTCAGAGGTGACCACGATATTTTCCTAAGAAGCAGGTCTCTTACAAGGCAGCCAAAGGAACTAAACTCATTTCAGTAAAAAACAGTAATATTTTACATTTAGAAGTCTAATTCAAACGGAAACATTATCAAGGATAAATGTTGCAAATGATCTTTAAAATAATACTTATCCTTAGGCTGGGAACCTGAACTATTTCTACTTACTTAATTTCACTAATCTCAGAAGGCAAAGGATTCCTGCAGTTCTAGAATCCCTTGCTCGCTCTCTCTGCTTAACCCCCAACATACAAAGAATTTTAAAAATTCTCTTACCAGCCTTAGAGCCTCTTCCCAGGCAGTGCCTTCTAATAGCAAGAGCACAGCTTCTTCATAATCCTAAAGGAGAACAAAGAAACACAACAGGTGAATAGAACGAGTGTGTTAAATGTCATCATAACCAACTGCAGGCCAGGCATGGTGGCTCACACCTGTAATCCCAGTGCTTTGGGAGGCTGAAGAGAAAGGGTCACTCAAGGTCAGGAGTTTGAAACCTATCTGGGCAACATAGCAAGACCCCATCTCTCTACCAAAGATAAATAAATAAATAAGCCAGGCAGAGGGGTGTATGCCTATAGTCCTAGCAACTCAGGAGGCTGAGGCAGGAACATAGCTTGAGCCCAAGAGTTTCAGATTACAGTGAGAGCACCACTGAACTGCAGTCTGGGTGACAGAGCAAGACTCAGTCTCAAACACAACAAATCACAAACCAACTACACACTGCCCACAGAGCTGCCTCTATCTCTCTGGTCCGCCTTATCCTTTACATTCCCAGTTCTCAGCATTGTGCCTGGCCTAGAGTCCATGATCCATAAATACTGATGCAAAAGACTAAGGAAGGTTGTATGTTCTGGAAATCATGACAAAACACAAGGTAAGCATCATCTCTCTATACCACTGAACATCAAAGCCTCCAGAAAGGTCTGTTAGAAATGCCCACATCCCTAGCTTTACCAACTTTGATTGAGCAGTTTTCGGTGGCCTCTGGAATTGTTAACAAGATCACACATTGAAAAAGTGGCAAAATAGAATAGGAATCTTTTAAACTTTCTTTTTTAGTCTTTTTTTTTTTTTGAGTTGGAGCCTCACTCTGTCACCCAGACTGGAGTGCAGTGGC